CCTGTAGCTTCTGCTTGACTTAGTCCTCAGCAATGGACTGACCACGGCGAAGCTGAGAAAATTCCTCGACTTCGATATCAGCAGACTGAGTCTTGCGCAGTGGTGCCTTGACAGAGGCAGGATCGGGGTGCACCAGCTTGAAGGGAAGGTCGGCAGTCAGGTCGCCGGCAATGGCGCCGCAGCTCAGCTTCACGCGGACAGAGTACGACACGACGATGCCCAAAGCGTCGTTGACGTTCTTGCCCTCTGCCACCAAGGTAGAGGATGCCAGGTTGGCGTCCTGGTCCTTGATTTGGCCGTCGAGGGCGATGCCGAAGCGGCGCTTGTTGACGGAGGCAACAGGGTTGAGGGAGAAGGTCCTGGTGAGGTTGCATCCTGGGGTGATGGGACATCCTTCGCGAGACTCGAGTGAAGCCACAACTCGGCTGAAGTGAGTGTTGGTCATGGTGACCTCCACATGCTGCACAACCTCAGCCTTGATGTTCTTCACGGTCTTCTTGGACACATTGTTGACGGAAAGCTGTGCCTCGATGGGCTGTCCGTGGAAGTAGACGTCGCGAGGCAGAGTGACCTCAAGGTTGAGCCTTCCTGGGGAAAGAGTGAAGCCCTTGCTGACCAGGGTCTGGGGCTGGCGGTTGCCGGAGCCAGGACAGGCGTACTGGACCTTTCGGACAGCGAAGCCGACGGAGTTCCGCTTGTGAGGACGTTCCTCCTTGCGGTCAGCAACGTACAGCTTGAGATCGTAGATCACACCAAGAGGCTGGGTCTGTTTTAAATGAGAATTCTGATTAATATCTGATTCCAACAACTTTTTGATCGTTTTAGCAGCCAGTGACATGTTATTTCAGAAGACGAAACTGAGTTTATATTCAGTAAAAGCAGAAATAAAACATATAGGTAAAGGTATACGTACAGAACCCTCACTCCCACCGTCGAGGGAGACGGAACAGGGGGCGTTCTCTGGAAGGTTCACGGTGATGGGGTAGGCGTTGGCACCCAGCTTCTTGATGAGTCGTTCCTGGACGTCGGTCATCTGGACGTCTCCAGCTTGGGGAGCGACCTCGGTGTTGACGAGCTCGAGCTCCTTGCTGAAGTGAAGTCCCATGACCTCATCCTCCTCGCGACCGTAGCGGTACGTGACCGCCACGCGCGCGAACACTCTCCTTCCACGCAGGTAGTCATGGTCCACGACCACCACACCGTCCACAGGAGAGGTGTGGGTGACGTGGTCCACGAAGTCCCGCCGACTTAGATACGCGGTGACCTTACCTGGAGGGAAGAAATGGGATCATTTTTCCACTGTCTCGTTTTTAACTACATTTACTAAGGAGCATGCCATTACACAGACAAGAAAACATGAAAAGTTTTTTTTTTATTACCATTAGGTGAAGTCTTTTTGAAGACCTTAACAGCGTTAACCATTAAAGAGGTTGTTGGCAAACTCGTAGGAGTGTGTGAAGTCCCGAAGATTGTCGGAGGGAAGCTGATGCCGAGCAGCGTTGGAGGCCGGTTCTTATACTGCCATGCTGGCGTAATGAGATTAGTAGTAGTGAGACGCTTCCTGGGACATGAGTGTTTTTTTTGTCATGACATTTTCTGAAATAAATAGTTCGTCACTGAGTATGCAACTTGAATCACAGGATTTCATTGATAGCAAAGGTAGTAAATTAGCCATGCGACCCATTTAGAAATTTTTTGCATTATGTTTCGGATAAGAGAGAGTAATGGACAACTGAAAACTATTCAGTAATGGAAACTTATTGCCAAAATAGGTAGGGTTAGCTTCATGGATTATCATCGGACATATATCTAGTTTTTTCATTAACATAGGCTTTTAATGAAAATAAGCATAAGTTTGTCATACAAAATCAGCGAATTGACAATGACTTTAAGGACGAAGTTAGCAGCGAATATTTATTACTTGAAGTTAACATGAATTACTTTACAACCAGTCTTTACCGATATATATGATCACTGATACTGAGTTACGTAGAAACCTGGCTTTCTGCTTTGATGATACACGCCATAGCTGCAGCCTTCTAATGAGATTTTAACCAAGCAGAGGTAAAGGAAAAGTAGTCTGTGAAAATATTAGACAAATGTTTTGATCAATGTATTTCGTACATTAAACACTTAAGAAATATATAACATATAGTATACATATGCATGTATTATTGAACATCAATAGGTATGTTTCCTTTGCATAGATACATACACATTTATGTACACACATATATACACACGCACATATACACGCATTTAAGTATAATCTTGATTTTTTTCTTTCATGCTTACATGATAATGTAGCCATCGCAGATACAGTCATCTGATATATTTAAAAGAAATTATTGAATCATATTTTGGATAACACAGATGCATACATAACATGTTCCCTCTAAGTGCACATAGAGTGTGCTACATTAATTTAAGTACATATCTTGTTCTGCTACGAATTAAGAACTGCACTATTCTTGAAAATCACCTCGAACCGAAAGTTATCAAAACACACGCGAACATACCATCAAAAATCAATGAACAGAACCAAACGTGGAGCTCGAAGTTAATCAAACAAGAAATTTATATAAACATTTCTAAGCCAAACTTTATTATCAACAAATCTTGTTGATAATTATTAGATCAATATTTCAGAAACATGTACACGGGTAAAAAGGTGAATCCGCGAACTTACTTTAGACATAAAAGCGTATTTGGCAAGCTGACAGTATAGGAAAATGGAAATAAAAATAAAGACTTATTCAATTACTAACTTGCTTAAGACATACTGTACACAATTGCAATGTTTAAATTGTTGCATTAAATATATCGGTTAAATAAAATGAAAAAAAACTGAACTCTAAATTTGTATTGTGCATACTAGGCAACACTGATATTTTCAAGGAGTGAGAGAAACAATGTATGCAAAGGTTTTCTGAAAGATTTTGTGCATAGTATTTTCCACTTGCGAAAATACCGGATTGAAAAATGTATCGTTATGCTGAATTGGTGTTTTGCCATTCCTCTTGGTACATTTTGTGCAAAACACTTAATACAAGTGTATATTTATCAGGCTCATATCTTTTATGTAGTTCCACGTTACTGTGTGCGTGTCATATCACACACATAAATATACATATACATATATACATACACATAGATAAGCATATATATATATATATATATATATATATATATATATATATATATGCATATGTATGTACAAACGCCTGCAATCCTACTATTAGCTCGTGCCTGATCTCACGGCGAGAAAACGACATATCGCTTTGAGAAATCAAACGCAAGTGTCGTTAAGGAAGTCAACGCCGTGGCAGAAGTGGCAGCTCGCTGAATCGAGATTGATTAGGAAGGGCATCCAGTTTGGCAAGGGTGGTACTGCTCAATGAGCTTGCAATGATAAATTGAGATAGGCCTAGATCCTGCAGTGGAATAAATGGCTTTTGAATAATAGTATGCATACACAACAATAAATATATGTAGATAAATACACATGTACAAATATATATATATATATATATATATATATATATATATATATATATATATATATATATATATATATTTATATATGTATAAATATAACCATATATATATACACACATATGTATATATACACTCATATATACATACAGACACTATATATATATATTTACATCTATGTGTGAGTGTATATATACATGTATATATTTATACATACATATACATACACAACCACACACATATATGTAAATATATTATATATGTATGTGTATATATACATGTATATATATGTGTGTGCATACACACACTCATATATATCTTATGTGTGTGTATGTATGTGTATACAGTGGAACCTGTGTAAAGTGAACACTCATGGGACCAGCTAAAAGTGTTCAATATAGACAGGTGTTCAATGTACCAAGGTTTCCAGTTTGGCACAGACACGAAGTCAGGGGAAATTAAGAACTTGAACGTCATGTATTTATTTATAAAATACCTTTTATTTTCTTTCAGACATACTATAATATATATAGAATACCATCTTCATTTCATAAATTTACAAAGTTAAATCATATCACAGGCTTATCACTGGGTATAAAGCACATGGACTTGATATCATGTATAGCACATGTAGTACTGAGACTGTTGAGGTCTTAAACTGATAATCAATTCTTGCCATCTATGGGCAATTTCACAAAAAAATATAGAAAATAGTCACAGCTTCTCCCCCATTTTTTGTTCATTTTCCACGGCGGCAATGGGTTAATTAAGTCTGTTGTCAAAGGTCTGATTAGCCATAACACAAAAGGACTGAATTTATTTCAAACCTTTAGCCACAAAGTATGAGGTTCTCAAAGGCCTAATTAGCACTTGACACCTCTAAGGACTGATTCCTCTTCAGGATTAAAGCCCCAAACACAATGCTCATGCTCATATCAACATCAATTAGCACCAGTTGACCAAGCCATTGCACAAATAACTGATGAATGTTCATTGTACACAGGTAAAATTTGCTCAAGGGGCTTAAAAAAATTGTTCAATGTCCACATTAGGCAGTTGTTCAAATTATCAAGGGTTGGGTACTTGAATTTATAGTTGGGTTTGCCGGGACCAACAAAAAGTGTTCAATATAGCCAGTTGTTCAGATTACAAAGGTGTACACTTTAGCAGGTTCCACTGTATTTTATTTTCATGTTTACTACTGTAATATACAAGGTGTGAGAAACGCCACATTTACTTCAAATTTTATTGCAGTTTAAATAGAAAATAGGATTATCACATGGAACTGTCCATGAAAATATAAATGCTCAAGGAATGATACTGGCATGCTAAATGTAAGGCTTAATAAGAAGCTTAAATGTCAATGACAATGTTGTACGATACAAGGGCCTAATTGTGTGCGAATTTGTAACTGCAATTTCCCTTCCGATTAAACTGATGCTTGAAAGTCGAATTGGTTGACAATGATTGGCTGATCCCCGAGCATCCTGTAGCTTCTGCTTGACTTAGTCCTCAGCAATGGACTGACCACGGCGAAGCTGAGAAAATTCCTCGACTTCGATATCGGCAGACTGAGTCTTGCGCAGTGGTGCCTTGACAGAGGCAGGATCGGGGTGCACCAGCTTGAAGGGAAGGTCGGCAGAAAGATCGCCGGCAATGGCGCCGCAGCTCAGCTTCACGCGGACAGAGTACGACACGACGATGCCCAAAGCGTCGTTGACGTTCTTGCCTTCTGCCACCAAGGTAGAGGATGCCAGGTTGGCGTCCTGGTCCTTGATTTGGCCGTCGAGGGCGATGCCGAAGCGGCGCTTGTTGACGGAGGCAACAGGGTTGAGGGAGAAGGTCCTGGTGAGGTTGCATCCTGGGGTGATGGGACATCCTTCGCGAGACTCGAGTGAAGCCACGACTCGGCTGAAGTGAGTGTTGGTCATGGTGACCTCCACATGCTGCACAACCTCAGCCTTGATGTTCTTCACGGTCTTCTTGGACACATTGTTGACGGAAAGCTGTGCCTCGATGGGCTGTCCGTGGAAGTAGACGTCGCGAGGCAGAGTGACCTCAAGGTTGAGCCTTCCTGGGGAAAGAGTGAAGCCCTTGCTGACCAGGGTCTGGGGTTGGCGGTTGCCGGAGCCAGGACAGGCGTACTGGACCTTTCGGACAGCGAAGCCGACGGAGTTCCGCTTGTGAGGACGTTCCTCCTTGCGGTCAGCAACGTACAGCTTGAGATCGTAGATCACACCAAGAGGCTGGGTCTGTTTCAAATGAGAATTCTGATAAACATCTGATTCCAACAACTTTTTGATCGTTTTAGCAGCCAGTGACATGTTATTTCAGAAGACGAAAATGAGTTTATATTCAGTAAGAGCAGAAATAAAACATATAGGTAAAGGTATACGTACAGAACCCTCACTCCCACCGTCGAGGGAGACGGAACAGGGGGCGTTCTCTGGAAGGTTCACGGTGATGGGGTAGGCGTTGGCACCCAGCTTCTTGATGAGTCGTTCCTGGACGTCGGTCATCTGGACGTCTCCAGCTTGGGGAGCGACTTCGGTGTTGACGAGCTCGAGCTCCTTGCTGAAGTGAAGTCCCATGACCTCATCCTCCTCGCGGCCGTAGCGGTACGTGACCGCCACGCGCGCGAACACTCTCCTTCCACGCAGGTAGTCATGGTCCACGACCACCACACCGTCCACAGGAGAGGTGTGGGTGACGTGGTCCACGAAGTCCCGCCGACTTAGATACGCGGTGACCTTACCTGGAGGGAAGAAATGGGATCATTGTTCCACTGTCTCGTTTTTAACTACATTTACTAAGGAGCATGCCATTACACAGACAAGAAAACATGAAAGTTTTTTTTTTTATTACCATTAGGTGAAGTCTTTTTGAAGACCTTAACAGCGTTAACCATTAAAGAGGTTGTTGGTAAACTCGTAGGAGTGTGTGAAGTCCCGAAGATTGTCGGAGGGAAGCTGATGCCGAGCAGCGTTGGAGGCCGGTTCTTATACTGCCGTGCTGGCGTAATGGGATTAGTAACAAAGCAGACTGGCGTTTCCTAGGTCTCTTGTTGCCTGGAATCATTTCCTATTTTCTTCCAATTTTTGTAAAACTATATATACATATTTATTCATGCATGAATACACACACACACACACATACACACACACACACACACACACACACACATATATATATACATACACGCGCGTGTGTGTGTGTGTGCACACACATGCACATACAGATATTGTAAAAAAGTTTCAGCGATTCCAATTAATAATCTTAATGTATTGGAAGAATGGCGATG